TCCCTCTTCCTCCTCTTTCCTCTTTACCTTTTTTTCTTATTTTCGAACCTGAAATCCATTAGGGTTCAAGACTGATAACAGTCCTGAACTTCTACTTCCATGAATATCAGACACTTGACTGTTGAAGGGGATTCTAAAGGAGTAATTGGATGGATAAATGGAAGTAAGGAGATTCCTTGGAATTTTAGATACACTGTTCAAGAGATCAAAAACATCATTCTGATTTGAAAGCATAGTAATATGGATATCAAGATCTGCAAATGGGTTGGCAAAACAAGGAGTTCACAAGGGAAAGCACATACTGAGGTCAAGTGATGTACTTGTTGTGATCTGTGTTTCTTTTTCTGCTCCTTTCTTGCTGGTGGGTTTAGCTGAGGCTAACTTTCCACAGGGTGTTTGGTCTGATCCTGTACTCTTAAATTTTAAATATTAATAAAATTCTTTCAGTTACCTATGAAAAAAAAAGTTGGTCATATGAATAGAACTGATGACAGCCTTGCTATTCTGCAGCTAGTAAAGCAAATGCTTCTAATACATCATTTTGATATCAAACAGGCCCCTAATTTGGCTAGATGTGAGTAGGATAGAAAGTGAATAAACATCTATGTTTTTTTTTTTTTTGAAAAGTAAAGTAAGAATTTTATTCATTCAGAAAAGACTCGATACAACAGGAGAGCTAACCAAACATCTATGTTATTTCCTATTATTACTTATTTAATTAAAGTTACTTACAAAAAAAATAAAGAAAAAGAGCAAAAAAGGTAGACAGCCAAAATTTTATAATCATGAAGACTCACCCAAATAAAATAAAATAAAATAAAAAAGAAAAGAAAAGAAGGCTGTCTTTCAACACATTGGCAGATATACATGTGAAATAGATGTGGAAAGTCCATGACATCAATGTGAAATTGGTGATGTCGTACCTAAAACCTCCTGATGGATCTTTCATTCGCAACAAGAACGTACGCATTTTATCTCTGAAACATTTAAGACAATATCATGTCAAATCACTTCTGGGTAACAATGGCCAAATATCATTAAAAAGTGGGCCAAGATGAAAATAAAACTGACCACCTATTAATTGATGACAAAGCTTTCTGGCCGCCTAATGTCATAAGTGCATTGACCGCAGCATAAGTTGTTGCAAGATGAGGTAACTGGGGATAATGCATGTCCAAAATGATTCAAAAGGAGAAAAGATGAGGAAGAGTAATGAAGATAATACTTGTTAAACCATATACCAATCTGTTTATAACACTTAACAGAAAATAGCAATACCATGTATAAGCATAGAACAAAAGTCAGAATAAGCTAAAAATATCACCCCAGCATGCCAGCTTACCCAGCATAGAGAGAAGGAATGAACTAGAAAGTCATTCAAGAGCATACCAGTGTAATGGGAAAAAACATAAGTACAAAGATCAGCAAAAGGACTGTCCCGGGAAAAAAAATACAGGCATACATCTTGAACAAGGGAGTTCAATAAGTAATTTACAACAAAACCCCAAACAAGATGATGGTCCAACCCTAACTCGACAACTTGATGAAATTCACAGAACATCATGGATACTCAAACCCAACATTCAATTCTGCCTCGTTGAGAATCTGCCAAGCCACTTTGAAAAGCAACAGCTCTGAAAGTCCTTTTTGAAAATTTACAGGTTCCAATAAGAGCCACCAAGGTCAACTCAACAAGTATGATCCCCATAAGGCCAGAAGATGGTTGGGTAACTTTTTCATCTCTTTGGCTATACCCGATAAAATTGGAATAAGAAAGAAGACTAACATGAACCATATGGAAGGATAACATGCACAAATCAAGAAAACTTTGGGTAACATTTTCCCATTAAAATGGAAAACATCACCTATTATAGAAGGAACAAAGGACCCAGAGAACCATCATCAGACTTTAATCTGGCATATGCCTGCTAATTTCCAGTGACATTTGCTCCATAGAATTTGCTTCAATTATGAAAATATCCATCCAATATACACAAAGCTCGTTATATTTCATCTAGACTTCATTTAGCATGAGGAATTGAGAAACATATATACCATCATTAACCTCCAAAACATGAAGCTTGCCAGCTTCAATGGAACCATGGTTGTCAAGGCTACGCTTAGGTGCCTGCCTAGGTGACAAGGCACCATTGATGGTTGCATCACTTAATTGCCCCACTATTTGGTATGTGCTGCTATGAAACACTTATGTTCTTTGTTTTTTGATATCATAATAACTAAATAGATGTTATTAAACTATAATGTTCATTTTGTGGATTTTCATACTAGTTTCTTTTTTATTTTCTTATTTGTTAGCGTTCAACCAACACACATGTTGGTACATGCTGTCTTGAAACCAAAGACTTAAACCTAAACCAATAAGCCAGGAAAAACTTAAAATTGTCTGATCAGCACATTCTTTATCATCATCATCATCTCCTCCTCCTCCTCTTTTTTCCTTTTCCTAAACAAAAATAGAGATTCAGCCCTTATATGTTCAGAATTTTCTCTATTTCTTCTTTTTCTTCTTATAAATATGTTGATTTTCTATGTCTTAATATGAAACTTATACTTTTTTATTAAGTTCAAAAATAATTATCAATGAAAGATGGTTGCTGGTTGCTAACAAAACCTAGGGAGTTACCCTAAGATTCATGGTTTCTATGTAAAAAATTCCAGCGCCTAGACAACTAGGCCCCCCCATCACCAAGCTTTGCCTTGAGACCTTGAAAAACTATGAATGGGACTGAGTGTTCTATATATTTTTCTTCAAAAGTCCTATATTGATCGTTCATGAAACTCAGCACAAAGAAAGGACAATGAACATAAGAACCATGAATACAGAATTCCATTACATTTACCAACCATAAGATTCCTTATGCAACAATACGTGGGCAATCTCCTTCTGGGGGAAGGGGAAGGGAGAGAGTATCAGTCACAGTCCATTATAATATCGAAGGGGTGAAAGCAATAGAGGTTTTACTTATCCCAATAATAATAATAATAACAACAACAAAGGGAATCTTTCTTTAGGCAATGCCTGATCAGCCACTTAGACAATGCCACCCCATCTTTTCATAAGTTGCAAAATAGATTGCTACTTCATTGCAGACAGATGGTCTAGTTCAGGTTATAAGTTTGGTGTTTTACCACACATCTAGAAGGGGGCAAAAAACCAAATTCTTAAGAATTGTAGGAACCTAATGAAGGCACAGTCCTAAAGACCTAAAGAGTGTTTTAAAAAGGCATGGGAGGCATACACCTGGAGACGTGCCTCCAGGCAACATGCTGCCAAAACGCCCTGAGGCATATACCAGAGGTATCAATGCCTCAGGTGCAAGAAGCATATGCCCCATACACCTCATACGCCTCATGCATAGTGCGCACCTCATACTATAAGACAGAATGAAAGGGACAAAAGAAGGGGAAGGGAAAGAAAAAAGAGAAAAAAAATAAAAGAAGAAAAGGAAAGGAAAGGGGAGTGGAGTGGAGTGGAGAAAAGAGAAGGGGAAAGAAAGTTCACCCCTAGACCCCATTAGCCCCCACCCCCCCCACCCCCTAAAGCTAGTGTTACTTATGCATTTTTCATTCTTGATGAAATCCTCCTTCCTCTTTTTCTTCCTCATCTTCCTCTTTGTTCTTGAGAGGCTAACGCCTCATGCTTCTTTTTTTTTTTTTCAAAACTTCAATTAAGAAAACTAGCACACTCAACAAAAATCTGTTCAAATACTTGATGAAAATTAGAATTCCATATTACACAATAAAGTTGTCACATGAAGCCAGCAACTTCCCAATAAATATGCTGCTGGGAAATAAAATCAGAAGTGGGCCATTTTGCAGAAGAGACTATTTGTACTTGCCTGTCCAGGTCCACCACCATAACCACCATCTGGGTCCTACATGAATGCAATGAGAAACAAACAGAGCTTAGAGATTACATGAACGATTCATGGCCCATCAAAATACCTAACCTCATACAATTCAACAAGGTAGTTAGCTAGTTAGCCATTCAAAAGAAAATTCATGAAGCATATATGATGTAAGATAGAGCCATTCATAATCATATCATGTTGCTGAAATATGGGAGAACAACCAACCCTGAATGCACAAGTTTTTTTGCAACTACCTAGAAAATGAAATAACAAGGCATTTCCATGTCATGATGATCAACAAAATATATATCCATATCATCTCATTTATTAAAAACAAAAGTTCTACTTATACTCGCCTAAAGGGTAGCTCAGATGTCAGAACCTGTGGCCAAAACAGTCACCCAAATGATATCCATTTATCACCTATTTATTAGAAAGAAAGATAGAAAGAAGGAAGGAAAACAAAAGAAAGAAAGTTTTATACAAATTCCCGTAGATGGTTTAGCGTAGACTCTGCTTGACCTAGGCAGTTGACCAAACCAGTGTTTTGAAGGGGATTATAAGGCATGACACCAAAAATGCTCCTAGAAATGTGTCCATATAGACTTGATAGAGGTGGTCAAGGATCCATATACCTATATGCTCCTATAAAATAAAATTTTGGACTGACCTCTAGTGGGGCAACAAACCCCTACCCATCTCTTTCCCTTCCCTGTTCTCCTTAGTTAGTGATAAAAATGCCCTGGTCTCCTCAACCATCCAATTGGCCAACCACCAAGTTTCATGCAATTTTAACTTCCGTAAAGCCTTAAGAGATTCTGAAATCTCAGACATTTCCCGTCTCCTCTCCACAATCTCAGAAGCCTTCCTTTCCCCTCATCTCAAGACAAGCTAATTTGGTCCCGTCCCCCCCAACCTACATAGACAAAAGGATTTGGCTCTCCTTTGTTCCCCCCAAAGTTGCTTTCTTCGTTTGGGAGGCAGCATGTGGCAAGCTGAATGCTTGTGACATTTTAGAGAAGAAATTCTTGGGAAAGAGATATATTTCCCCCCATTTTTTGCTTCATGTGCTTTGAGAATGGAGAGTCTATTGGCCACTTATTAATTAACTGCAGCTTTGCCAAAAATCTTTGGCAATTTTTTTTCTGGATGCATCTCTTGGTGGAAGCTACAGTTGGACTCCTCCAAGTTCAATCACTAATTTTGTTGCCCAGTGGGTCAAACCAAAGATGGGAAAAAGAGGAAAGCTCCTTTGGAAAGTTGTAATTCATGCTGTGATGTAAGGAATCTGGGAAGAAAGGAACAAAAGAATTTTTTAAGATAGTTTCTCCTCCTTGGATAGTATTCGTGAGAAGATTTTATCCCAAATCTTTTCTTGGATGCTGGTCCACCAGCTCTTTGAAAGGGTGAGCAGAGGGGAGTTACAAAGAAACTGGCTGCATTCGTCTCCAACTGTACCAACTCTTCCTCCTGCAGTAGGAATGTGAATACCTGTTGCTTCCTCCCTCAGCAGCTGGAATAGGGGGGCATTGTTAGAAACTCTACTGGAGACCTTGTGGACCTTTAGTGGCTCGGTTCAAGCTGCAGATGCCTTTGAAGCAGAAGTCCGCTCTCTTCTAGAAGGCTTAAGGGTTGCTAAGAGGCTCCTTTTCAGTCCTTTAGCACTAGAAGAGACTCAAGGATTACCATTAAGTGGGCAAAAGAATCAGATGAGGGACCGTGGAGGCTAGCTCACCTCCTTGCTAAAATTCATGAGCTGACTTCTCTGCTGAACTGCACCTTTAGATGGATTCCCCGGGAGATCAATAGAACAGCAGATGTTTTAGCAAAGCAAGGCTTGGGAAGGGATATTTTGTATAGTGCTAACTCTTTGCCATCTTAGTTTGATCCAGGCCCTTCTTTTTTGTGTTTCTCTGGCTTGTTTGTACATCTCTTATGTACATCCCTCCCCCTTTTTTGAATATAAGTTATCTTTCTCTTCAAAAAAATAGGCTTGAAATTATTATTACTGCAAGTCTAAGAAATAAAGGCAAGAGAACCCAAGCATTCATTGTTAAATGTCATCACCTATTGCCAATTTCACAATGGACTATGAACATGAAAATAGAAGTCGATGAGATTTACCTAAGCTATGGTCAAAACCAAAAGACAAATAAATATCATAAGGGCATTAGTGAAAGATTATTTAGGGGCTATTTTGGAGGGCTCAACTTAGCAGGCAGGCAGCAGCAGCTTTGCATCTGCTCAGCATATCGTCAATGTTGAAGAAATGGTGTTGGGATGCCAGGGCATCTTTCTGTGTTTTCATCAAATGCATTGTTCAGCTTTCTATACTTTGAAATTCATGAAAGCCAAAAGGCAACTGCAAGAAATCACTCCCAACGAACTATCCTAACTCAGTAATCCATGACCTGTAAAAGAATATTTTGTATGCCTGCAATTATATCCAGATCTCATTAAATAGCCGCAACCAACTCAACATATTACACCATAATTGATTTGGGAAACACTATACTCATAAAATTCCATAGATCCTCGGCATTGTTGCAGTTCCACCAACCATTTTAGTACCGTGAAAAGTAAAGCATTGTTCCCTAGCAATATAGCACACTACCAAAAAAAGCAATATAGCTTAGGTCAGTGCACCCTACAAGTAGAGTTATGCACTTGCTGCGCTGCACAGACTTAAGAAATCTCTTGTTCCATTAGGATACCCATTTGCAGTTTCTTCAGTCACAAAAAACACCAACAAAAACCAGAAAGATAATGATGCTGACGATAATTATGACTTTATCAACCCAAAAGCAGAGAGAAAAAAACAAGAAAATTTTCAGAACAAAACGAAGTGAAAGGAGCACTTAAAACTCCTACCTGACAGCGGTTGAGAAAGTCAATTGAATTATTCTCCAGGTCGGAGAAAATGGATTCTCCCAATAAAGCAATTGAGTGAAGGATCCAGTAGCAGAGCCAAGGACGACTATAACAAAATGGTATCGGATACAAAGAAATGAAAATTAGTAGAACATACGTTGCAAACTTGCAATCTTGCATTAATGGTGTTTCTACAACGTAAATACATATGAGGGGAAAATCAGAGGTAGCAGCTCTTAACTAACAAGATTGAAGAACAATTTACTAATCAATTAAGAAAAAAAAAAAAGATAGAGGCGCAATTACTGAAGAAAACCAAACTAACTAAGAAGATATCCGTGCTGAACAAAGTAAACCTAAACTATAACTATTGTACAACCAAACCCAATCCGTAAAACAAAAGAGAGAAAGAGAGAGAGAGAGAGGCATACTTGGCGTCCAACACGCGGAAGCTAGGACCAAGTTGTCTGAGACCCCTGGTCAGAAACTCGATGTGCTGGTCACGGCGAAGTTCCAACCTGTCTTGCCAATGGGATCAGGAATTTAAAAAATAAAAATTAAAATAAAGCAGCCATTGTAAATAAGAACAATACGAAACAAATAGCTCAAATCGAGAAATTGATACTAAAACCCTAAATTGTAACCGTTGCACTACAAACGTTAAATTGTGCCGCAAGTAAGCTCCTTACATTATCGTCTGGGCATGGTGAGGAACACTACTGAAGAGCTGATAAATCTCAGAGACCATCTCCTCAACCGTCCACTGCTCGCGCTGGGTAACGGTGGGTATCGAGCTAATTGGGTCCATTTCTGCAACACTCCTGCAAGTTTTGAGTACCCTCTCCTGCTTCCTGTGATATATACAAAGATCACCAGAGCACCAAAAAAAGCGGCGCGAATCATTTTTTGTGCTTACATTTCATCTCGGCGAGTCCGAATTTGCACGTTACAGTGCCGCTCCTCACACTAACCTCACAATTATTCATGGGAGATGCTCTCGATGGGGATGTACTCCAATGTAGTGTACTGTGATCCTGAGCTTGGTTTGAGATTTGAGAAGCGGACTGTTGGGAGCAAATATTGACTCGTAAAAACTCTGTACACACTCTGCAAATATGGAAATCCAACGAGTAACGTGACGGATCCGGATACACTCAGTTTCGAAGGTCGGTAGCCGGATCATCCAACGGTGGTCCAAAATCCGGACTAAACTCTACGATCAGATTTATGCTTGAACTAATAGACGGTCTGGATCTACCTGAAAACTTTACTACAAAATAGTTTCACTGTACAGCTGCAGTGGTGATTATGCATTCCATCCAAATTTTTATTAGTAGGGCCTCGCAGCGGATGAGTTTGGGCAAGTATCATACTCCATCTGGCCTCCCTGGCCCCCGATGAGAAAAATCAATCTCTATCCCCAATGGATAATTTGGATATAGAGTAAAAAAAAAGTATTATATCAAGTATAATAGCGATAAGTTGGATATGAAGATGGATACAAATAAGATGCATTTTGAAAATGTAAATCGGGCCATGTCCGCGTGCGGCCCGTGTAAAATATGTATCGGGTCAGATCGGGCCATGTTTTTCTTCATCGGGATACTTTGGGGGATCAATCCAACACGGTTCATGGCCTGAGCCCGTGCAGGACCGTATTGGGCCGGTTGGGCCATGGGCCTATGCTGGGTGGGCTGCAAGCCGTGTAGTAGGCCTTGCCCATATCATGCTGGGCTACGGGTTGGGCCTTGGATCTAGGCCGATCCGGGCCAAACTGTTTTTTTTTTTTACATTTTGATTTTTTTGCTAAAATGCTTCACTTTACTTAATTTAATAATTACTTTTAGCTTTGGGAACAAATTCGAAAAATAAAAAAACTAACAAAGAAATAAAAAAAAAAACTTAAATACTTAACAAAATACAAAATGGACAATAAATTGGAAAAAAAACATGAATTTTATTTCTTGAATTTGAACAATACAATGGTCAATGGACAATGGATGAATGAAATATAAAAAATATATAATACAATTATAAATTAAAAATAAAAAATTACGTTGTTGAGAAAATAAGAACTAATATAAATAAAATTAGAAAACTACAATAATTTAAAAATTTGAAAAAAAATTACAATAATTGAAATAATGAAATATTGAGTACACAAAAGAATAAAAAATGTTGACTTCATCATTTTTCTTCAAGTTCCACCTCCACTTGCATCTTCATCTAATCATCTCCTTGTTTGTTATCATCTACTTCAAGTGAAACATCAAATGTAATGCGATGCCCTTCTTTGTATTGTAATCTATCTTCAGCATCCAACCAATCTTTAAGGCAGACGCACATCACCAAACTTTCATCATTCATACAGCTTCTCTTGCAGTTCAACACCCTAGAACCTGCACTAAGACAAGGCTCTGATTAAATTGTAAACACCAAAGAAGTTAGTAGATCACGTGCCACGTCAGCAAGAATTGAATAGTTTTTTCATATCCGTTCTACTAAGATAAAATATCAAAATCATCTCATCCCTTGTTGTCGCAATAATCAATTAAAGTATAAACACTTGCTTGTAAATAAAAATGAAGTTCAATAAATGAACTTGCTGATGAACTAATAGTAGATTTTTGTCTCTTATATAGTAGAGACCGGATTCTGTCTCCACTATTGAAAATGGAACTAAGTTGTTTTAGAAGTGGAACTTGCACATRTACAAGATTTCTTATAGCCACCCACTTAATTCATATAAACTATGCACTTCAAATAATAAATTATTAACCTCTTATATTTTATTTCCAACTTCAATATTCATATTTTTCACAATATAATTCAAGTCAAATTTCCAAACCATCTCTCGTAATCCTATGATCTAATATCACAACTAAGCAATAAATGGGAGAAATTTTCTCTCAATCTTTTTTAAATTTATTTTCCATTATTYCAATAATACTTTGAAATTGTGGATTTTTCCTATATTTTGCAAACCATTCACTAATTATAAATAATTGATTAACTAAAAGACAACTAGTTGAGTAATAAACACCGAAAAATTCATTTTTTGCATCATAAAAAATTGTAAAAAATCTTTTATACAAATTGTCGTTTTCCAATCTTCATCAAATATATGATCGTATAGAATTTTTGCATTATAAAAATCAGTAAGAATTTATTTGTATACAATACAATTTTATAACATAAAAATAGGTAGAATTCCATCTATGTTGAACATCTAATACAAAATGTTTATATTTTAAACCATAATTTTTACATAAATATTTAAATTATTGTTTTCTTGCTCTGAAACTTTTTAATATATATTATACAATTTTTAATTTTAGAAATATGATGATAAATAATATTTAAAGCAGCTTGAATACATAAATTTAAAATGTGACATGCACATCTAATATGAAATAATTTACCATCTAAAAATGGTTTTAATTAAGATTTTAAAATATTTATTGTTGAATCATTGTTACTATCATTATCAAAACTAATAGAAAAAAGTTTATTTTCAATTCCATAAATATGTAAAGCATTTAAAATACTTGCAGCAATAATTAGGCTAGTATGTGGCCATTCAAGCATAGTAAAACTTAAAATTCGTTTATGTAAAACCCATTTTTCATCAATGACCAATAATACAAATATAACTTATGCTAAATCTAGATGTCAAAATATTAGAAGTAATTGCAATTTTATAATTAAGATTTGATAAAATATAAATTAAAATCTGTTTATATGAATAAACAAATTTTAAAGCATATGTTCTAATAGTATTTCAATCAATTGTGAATTTATAGATTTACGTACAAAATTTTCAAGTTTATTATCTTATGCTAATAAAATTTGGTGTTCAGCATGCACAATATATTTTGCTAATTCTTGCCTCATTTTTTTCTTGGGAATATTTAAAAGTACCAAAAATCTCAATTCCTATTTGTGCTTGTGATGTTTCTTTCCCCTATTCCTCTTTCATCAAGTGGTGTTTAAAATGTCTACCCAAGTGGCTAGTATCACCACTACTACTATAGCTAAAATCACTCATACATTTTGACAAATTGCTCTCTTTCCCTTCCCCTAAACCTCCTCTATTTTAAATATTATCCAAACTGGGCTAATCATCATAGTATTCTCTTTTTTCTTTCCCCTACCTCTAGTAGCAATACTAGGGGTGGGAACGTCAATAATATTAGCAGAATTATCCATATCAGCACTAACACTATCATATTGTGACCGAACATCGACATTGTCGACATTGATTACATTGGGGAATTGGCGTTGAGAGCGAGAGGAGCCTTCAATTTTTCTAATTATTAAAAACAATGAAAATCAATTTAATTGCACTTACCTGTATTGTCGGTTTGGAATTTCAACAATTGAAGCCTCCAAGCCTCCCAAATTGCTAACTTGCGATACCTGAATAAACCATCTTTTTGTTGAAACTTTAATCAAGTTGAGAATTGGAGAGTATAGAGAGTATGAGAGTATTATGTATGAGACTAAGAGACCAAGAGAGTATCAGAATTTGTGTGATGATAATGGTGGAGAGTATAGCTATTTATAGGAATTGAAAACAATTTAATTCCCAAAAATACCATAAAACTATTTGTTTTTTGTTGTTGAGAGGGTTATTTTGGTTAGTATAAAGTCATTTATCACTTTACTTAAATACCCCTCTAAAGTAGTTGTTATATAGTTTTTTGGGGGCATTATTGTCATTTTATATCCCCCAAAACCAAGATACATAAATACCCCCCTATATAGCTGTTTATAATTATTGGAGCCCCCCCCCCCAAAAAAAAAAGTTGAAACTAGCGGGGGGGGTCTCTAATGGCTAGTTCTTCGAACAGGTCGAGCATGGTCCGCAGTGGGCTTGCAGGTCGGGCCGTGCTCGTCGGCTTTACACGTGATAATTATAGACGATGATAATGATAGACAGAATGTATCTATTTTTTTATGAAATTTATGTAATTTTTTATTTTTTATACTTTTGTTTTTCATTATTAATCAGATGCATATTGCAAAATCTGAATCTAATTGTGTAAGTACCTCATAATGGGCTACAAAGTTTTGGGTATCAATGGTAGGCCTACTTATTTGGCTAGACTCTTGTTTTTGTGATGTTTTATCTTCTTAGTGTATATATTTTTTTGTTTATTTATCAAAAAAAATGTAAGATTTAAAGAGAGGGAATTGAATGAGGTGAAAATTGTAGTTCAAACTACATTTTAAACCCCACAATTAAATATGGATTAAATTCAAAAATGRGTATTTTAGTTAAAAGAAAGTTTCACAATTTTTTTTCATATTTTTAATAATAGTTTAAATTTGAAGTTATAGATGTGTTTAATTTTTTCTATATTTTTCTTTTATTTCTATGTGCATAAAAATAATACTATTATTTACACATTTTTTTGTTTGATATGTTAAATATATGATATTATACACGTGTCCAAATGTTTTTTTGTAAAATTTATGTATTTTTTATTTTATTAATTTTTATTATTTAATCATGACATTAAAGGTTGACAGATTTGACCCAAAAGGTGAACTATTGATCTCCGCTAAATATGAAAATGATTTAATTTATGGTTAGTTTTAGATTATATATTTTATTTTCATCATCAATCAAAATATTTATTGTTTATTACACTTGCTTTTTATTTGATTAATAAAAATATCATAAATGTGTCTATTTTTTCTATATATTTTTTAATTTTATATATTTATTTTTATTTAAAATTTTTATTATCAAACTATGACTTCATGAGTTAGCCAATTAATTTTGGATAGTTGAATTGCTTAGTCATCACTTTAATAAATAATGATTTTGTTTTTTAGTGAGTTTTAAAATATATGGGTTTATATTATTAAA